AGGAGGAGGGCTGGAGACCCCACCATTGAAACCTAGGACAAGGAGCCCAAGGATGACTTCTCGAGGGCTTTGAACATCAGAAAGTGTACCTTAGGGTCAAATCCACGAACAAGTTACATCTGACTTGTATCAAGGATGAAACCTCTTCCATCAGAGGCACAGAAAGATCGCAGGGTTGCCTTTACCATGAAATATCCTATCTGAAGCGAGGGTGACGCTCTCAGTCATATGGTTAGATGAAGCTACCAAGGCCAGCATTTTTCAGCAAGATGATACTCCAGCCCACACAGCAAAACCTGAGACCTAGTGACTTGAAGACTACATGGTATATTTTTATAAAGGATTGGTCGGAAAATTGCCCGGACCTGAGTCCTATTGAAAACCTCATACAGGGGAACGATGCCATTTCAGTGCCCAAGGTTGAGGCAGCCATTTTGAAGCCCTGGGACATTAACCCACCTTATACACCCAAGAACCCTGCTCTGTCACTTTCTAGATGTCTTCAGAGTGTAAAGATGAAGAAAGGCAACACTGTCAAGTATTAAAATGTAAACTACTCGCATTCTCATAAATAAAATTCTCAATATATTCATAGACATCCGGGGTGGGAAAGCAAGATCCACATACATTTGATGAGGACTGTATGATAGAGAGAGTACATGTAAGCGTGACTAGTAAATAGTGAGTGAATGATGTTTTGTCAACAAAACTGACTTTTTATGACATTAGCAGTACGCTTTGAAATTATTCATTGGCATTTAAAGTGATATCCAAGCTGAAAATGTCAAAAAACAAACTGAGAGCTAGCTTAACCTGTCTAGGAAATAGTGTCTGCTATTCCGCATTTTTTGTTTCCATAGGTAACATCGACACTAACGTTCTTGTTTTGAGAGAATGACTGAAAAAAATCTATCTATCTATATATATATATATATATATATATATATATATATATATTATATATATATATATATATATTATATATATATATATAATATATATATATATATATATATATATATATGCTAGGGACATTAAAAGTAGTTTTCTATATGACTTTACGGGGAAGGTATTTCAGCCCTTTGGTTACCGAACCTCAACCACATGTAGTTGATGAAAATATCGCCTAGTCCTACTTCAAAGCTTTATCTAGGTCGTGAATGTAATCGCCTTGAGAACGAAGAGGAAGTAAGGCAGCATAGTAGTATTGCTTTCATTGCTGAATCTTAGGAAGTAAGGTAGATAAAAGGTCTCATTTAGACATTCAGGAAATCTGCCCTTTTTCACAGAGTATCATTGGGTTTTATATTTTACCTCGACTGAGGGAACGTCTGACGGCGCTAACATAAAGACAAGAACTTTGTCTACGTGGAACATGTATTATGGAATATTTCCTTAAATGACGTTTATTTCTTAAGAACACTGGCGTTTTCCACTTGGCAAATGAAACCATATCTGCTTATGTCTATTTTTGACAGACTGAGGCATCTAGATCATTGGGACCTGTAGACTTGGACGTACAACTACCTCGATCCATTAAGCCGCTCCATTATGTGGTCAAACTTCAACCCTTCATCAATGGCAACTTCAGCATCGTCGGCTACATGGAGGTGGAGATGGAGGTTCTGGAACCCACTTCCAACATCACTCTCCACATATCGGATATCATCACTAAAAACGACACCGTAAAGGTAGGGATAAGCTTCAATATACTATTGGGTAATATTGATACATAACGTAGATGTAGCTCATTTGAACAAGACTTAATGTTTAACAACTGAAGCAGGTTTCTTCGTTCCACAAGCTCTGGGATAGTACACAGGAGTTTCAAAATTCTTCTTTTCTGTTCCAGGTTTCAGATCAAGCAACATCCCGAGGTTTGAGGATCAAGAAACACGAGTATGACCATAGTCGTCACTTTTACATTGCCCATTTGAGGAAAGAGCTCCAGAAGGGAAAAAGGTACATCCTGTCCATGGAGTTCCTTGGTTATCTTAATGATAAGCTGCGTGGCTTCTACAGAGCGACCTACAAGGATGTTGATGGTAACATCAGGTGAATATCCCTTTGTTGTCTGTAACTGTACCCATTTCATAGTATACTAAAGGCTATTTGCATATTATCGCTATAATCTCTGTCCAGAAATGCGGCTGCGACCCAGTTCCAGCCCACCGACGCCCGCAAAGCCTTCCCTTGCTTCGACGAGCCCGCACTGAAGGCAACCTTTGAAATTCACCTCGCAAGGGAATCTGGATGACGACCCTCCAACATGCCCATTGCCGAAACGGTGCCTGTGTGAGTAGCACTTCATGATGAAACAAATGTTATTCTATAGTTTAGATAAATGTCTTAATACCTTCCAATGCATCTTTTGATTAAATGGAATTTGTAATCCAACAGTGAAGGACAGGAGGGATGGATGTGGGATCGTTACGAGAAGAGTGTCCCTATGTCCACTTACCTGGTTGCCTTCGTCGTGTCCGACTACGTTCATATCAACTCGACCGAGAATGACCGTGTAGATTTTCGAGGTAATGACATTTTATCGAAGCTAGGTTCATCAGTGTTAATTTGTGTTTCTGAGTGAGTGATCAAGACAGAAAAAGCGAGTATCTTTCATGCATATGTTCTTGTGATAACAACATAATTATTGTCAAATTTATCATTCTGCTGATATATTATAAAGAATCATGAGTAGTTTTCATTAGTTGTGGCCGTGAGCATGTGCAAAACAGCATGATCAGGGGTGACTGTGCTTAACATTCTAACCAGAAAAATTCTCTGGCAGTGTGGGCACGACAAGAGACCATAGATCAAGCAGAGTATGCAAATGAGATAGGTCCCAAGATCTTACGTTTCTTTGAAGATTATTTCAACCTATCTTATCCCCTTCCGAAGATGGACATGATTGCATTAACCGACTTCTCTGCAGGAGCTATGGAGAACTGGGGTCTAATAACTTACAGGTAATGCAGTGACATTAGCACAGAGGCCTTGTATTACAACACCATTATGTATTGTTTTAAACATTATACCCATTTTACTCAGGAGCCGGGATTAGTGATATATTTGTATACAGAGAAAGGGTCGAGAGTAAGGATGTAAGGGTTCTGTGTGAAGTTTAAGACAAAAAGAAGCCATACTTGTATAATTGGCTGACCTCAACTCATCCTTCTGAAGGCATTGCTACCAGCTGGTATAGAATTATCATTGAGCTAAAACTGGAAAGCTGTATATCGCTCTATAAAATATCAAATATGATGTAACCTTATTGCTCACAGCATGCACAACCCTATTTCTAGCTATGACAGAGTTCTTGTTATTAATTCTACTCTCATTTTGAACAGAGAAAGTATCTTCTTGTATGACCCACAAGTTTCAACCCCAGTCGACAAGGCAGTTATTGCAAGTATTGTATCTCATGAGTTGGCTCACCAGTGGTTTGGCAATCTGGTGACGCCTAAGTGGTGGGACGACTTGTGGCTCAACGAGGGATTCGCTACTTATATAAGTTACCTTGGTGTAGATCATGTAAGTTACTTGAGTCATGATATTCATAGTAAATCCAATAATATACAATAATGAATAAAACATGAAAAAACATATACATATAAATTTCTTTTGCTTATGTTCAAAAGGTAGAACCAACGTGGAAGGCAATGGAAGAAATCGTCGTTGAAATAGTCCATCGTGTGTTCGATCTAGACAGCCTGGAGTCCCTCCCACAGGATCAATTCCCGTCTCAAACCCGGACGAGATATCCGAAGTCTTTGATGAGATATCATACAATAAAGGTCAGTATCTTTCTTCATTGTTTTGTTTTTTATGGTATTTCTTTGTCTATCTCATTGCTTATCTATATTTTCTTTCTACAATGATCTAGGAGCGTCTATCATCCGGATGATGACCCACTACCTCACAGAGCCGACCTTTAGGAAGGGATTGAACAACTATCTAAAAGCACTGTAAATATGCTAATATAAGTGTACCTTATGACACGTAATACTAATTGGATGTAAAAATAACTCAGCTTAAAGGTTTGAAATTTATATTGTGCTACTTTGCAATTCTCAAGTCTCGCTCTATATATTATGATCCTGAACATATGTCCATTTTCATGTAGCACATACAATAGTTCTGTGCAAGACGACCTGTGGAAGCATCTGACTCTGGCGGCTCACGAGGACGGCATTCTGCCCCAGGAGGTGACTGTGAAGATGATCATGGACACGTGGACGCTGCAGATGGGATACCCCGTCGTGAAGGTGACAAGGAGCCCCGACGGAACCTCTGCTACTTTGACACAGGTGAGTTTGTACTTAATGACTTGATGGAAGGGAGGAAACATATTCAGTAAACATATCATTTGGCCCTATATATACCCCGCCTTAATTTCCAGGAGCGGTTCCTCTTAGAAGGGAGCGCAAACTCTTCCAGCACCACGGATTACAAGTGGTGGGTGCCTCTGACCTTCACGACCCAGAACGAGGCCAACTTCAGCCAGACTCAAGCCAGTTTATGGATGAAGGACTCTGAGGATCATGTCACCGTCTCTTCTCTTCCCCCGAAGGACCAGTGGGTCATCTTCAACCTGCAGCAGGCGGCCTACTACCGAGTCAACTACGACGACCACAACTGGAATCTTATTATCCAACAGCTGAAGAAGGACCACCAGGTTATTTCTCCTGTCAACAGAGGGCAGATTGTCGATGATGCCATGAACCTTGCTAGGGCTGGTACAGTAATCTTTATCTTTTTAATAGTATTTCTTTCTTCTACTAAGGAATTCTATAGCTGTTTTCTATGCATATATGGATATTCAAGAATTACTATGATTTCCTTGTCTGTATTACTCAAGAACGTCATATTTTCATACACTAACGCACAGGGAGTGAACGTGTATTTTTGATGAGTTAAAATATTTGCGTGTTCCAAAATTAGTAATGGAAATCATTTTATGATTTCGTAATTTTTGATTAGCAAAAATGGATACCTTCCATTCAGGTCATCTCAGGTACAAGCTCGCCCTGGACGTTTTACTGTATCTGCGAAATGAAGGAGAATATCTGCCTTGGGCTACAGGCGCCGATAAATTCGTTTACATAGAGAGTATGTTCAAACGCAGAAGTGGATTCGGCGCTCTCAAGGTGAGGCTCGGAGGCTCACACGGAGTTTTACTTGCCTGCGATGAAACCGCAACCGATATGCCGAATTGTTTGATCATTTATTTACCAGAATATAAATGTATATATACATATATGTATGTAATATCTATATCTATCTATCTATATATATATATATATTTGTATATGTATGTATATGTGTGTGTGTGTGTATGTATGTATGTATGTATACACATACATACGCGTATATGAACATTCTTTTCTTTCCAGCGTTACCTCCTGGATTTGGTGTTGCCGCTCTACGAGTCCGTTGGGTTCGACAACAACATCGAGGACTCTTTCTTGGAGCAACAAAAGAGGAAAATAGCCGTGAAATGGGCTTGCAGACTGGGCCACAAGGACTGCCTCAACAAAGCGCTCACTCTCTACAGGCACTGGATGTCACAGCCGGACAATTCGAGGTAGGTGTAGCGCGGTGTATGTCGTATCGGGACAGTGTATACACTTTTTTGGATTAGTATGATTGTGATGTTGTCTTTATTGATCTCGGGATTATCATTATCGATAATTTTACCTTCATTAGTGGTTGTAACAGTAGGTTATTCTACTTTTTAATTATCATTATAATTACTACTATCAAACCTTCTGTCATACCAAATTAATATGGACTAGATATATATATAATGATATCCAGATTTATCAGTATAAAAATTTCAGCATCATTTCGCCAAACCTTAAACCTGTGGTGTATTGTCGCGCCATCGCCGAGGGCGGGGAGGCCGAGTGGGACTTCGCGTGGGACCAGTACGTTACTTCCAGCGTCGCTACCGAGAAAAAGCTTCTTCTCAGATCTATGTCCTGCTCGAAGCAGACTTGGATCCTATCTAGGTACGTCGTCTTGCCTGTGTGTGAGAGAGGGTGGCGGGTGGGAGAGGCAGGGCGAGTGTCGGGGGAAGACAAGGGTATGGTGCTGCACTTGTGGATTGCACAATGGCCAAGGGGCGCCAAGACCACGGCTAAATCCAGAACTGCTGAACTGAAACCGATATTGGCTTTCTGCTCGTGGAAGGAGACCACTTTGGACCACCTTGAATCTCTGGCGATATAGTCCTTGGCCAAGTGGATGGGAAGGTCTCGTGGAGCAGCATTACTACGTTCTACGGTGACGAGAACGGTTGCTCCTCGAAACAACGAAGAGAAGATTTAAGATTAAAGATTTAGTTTTAATTCCATTTGTTGCAATGGATATTCTTTGCTGTGACATACTGTCTGTTTTTATTTTGCCCAAATCTCCCCCTGTGTGCAAGGAGTGGCCGGGGTTACCACTCACTGGCCGGGCGTGGGATTGAACGCAGGTCCGCAAGATTGCTAGCCCAGCACCTTACCGCTGCGCCAGCACAGAAGGAGGAGGGACGAACGAACGAAGGTCGAGAGCCAAGCAGCGATGGGACAGGTGGTCGTCGGCTATTGCATCGAACCCCAGAGTGTACAGTTTTGTGTGTCAGGGACTGTTTGGATGTTCAAAAAATAAGAAAGAGAGGGGAGCAAGAGAGAGAGAGATGGAGACAGAAAGGAGAGGGAGAGGATGCGCATGTGATATGTATATTTCCATAGTTAATTTCTACATGCTTTTCCAGATACCTCGAGATGGCTACGAACACGAGCAATGGCATAAGACTGCAAGATGTTATTTATGTGTTAAGAGGTTTGAGTAAGAATGACGTGGGACGCTCCATGGTGTGGGACTACCTCACACATAACTGGAACAATATTTATACATAGTAAGTCTTTTTTCTATCACAAAAATACAGTGTGAGCAAAGTATATATTTTACCAAAGCAAATATAACAAATATAAATATAAAAAACATAGACAAAGGCAATGACAAGGAATGCCAACCTGTAGGTTCCTTCGCATACTAGATTTTTTCACTTTCATTTCACAGCAAGAAGAGTCGGAGAGGTGACGTCATGAAAAGGGTAACACAAGCATTTAATACGAAACAGGAACTGAAAAGGGTAAGGTCGTTATTCTGTGTATAGAGCAATGCAATCAAGTATTAACTAGATCACGTAGAATAAACATTTCTGACACCTATACCTAGTAATAAATGCATAATTTAATTTCAAAATCCCGTAGCTTCAACTGTGGGAATTAAATCACATTAATGTTTTTTTTAACCAAGAATCAAATCACATCTCTTCAGGTCCAGTCGTTTTTGAGGAGGAGGACGGTGACCTTGGAGGGGAACCAGAGGAGCGTCCAGCAGGCAGAAGAGAAGGTCAAGAACAACGTCGCCTGGATGGACACAAAGTATGACGTCATAGTCCAGTGGCTGGAGGAGAACGGCTACTCCTCGAAACTACGGGTCGTTTAA